AGTTAATTTTCGAAAATTAAAAGGCTTTTTGATTTCTGAAATTTTCAGGTGAGCAGTATTCCAGCAGTTCACAGTACTGTTCGTTTTTCGCGTTCTTTCACAGTAGCTGAAATTGAGGAACGATGGTATGAACTGCTCTACGATGAGGTTAATTTTAAAATTTTTTTGTTAATTTTCTATTTTTTTTTCTAATTTTTTTTTTGGTTGAATCCTCTACAGTTGCACGAGCAAAATTTCAGGCTACTTCAAGTGTTGCAAAGAAACGAATCGCTGATCTTTCAGTGGAAGCAATAACTGCTGTGCAGTCGAGGACAGTTTTCACGGCCGAGGAAGAGCGGCTTCTCTCCACTGTTCCTTCAACAACATGCGGCAACGATTTCACACCATTCAAAGAGGTCCGTTATTTTCACTCACTTGTTACTGGAACCAACATAGGCGGACCAAGGGCGATCTCCTGGGAGAGGGGGGGGGGCGAAAGCCTACGTGATCCTTGAATTTTTTTTAGATTTTGGAAAAAAATAAGGAGGTATTCCATCATGCTCGTACGCCAGCAGTACTTCAACAGCACTGGCTTGAAATGCGAAATTGGGATTTATTACAAGATCAGAAGAAGCCGAGCAGCCGTGTTCTGGATTATGCTGAAATTGAGCAAAATCTGGAATGGGATGATGATGAAGAGGATTGGCAACATACGGATATCATGGAGATGCGCCTCTATAAACGCATCGCATTGACCGATCGTACATGGCAACAGTGGCGAAAGGCAAATTCTCTTTTTTTTTACCGATAAATTATCGCTTTGGTGAAATTTTTTAACAGAATTAGTTTATTCTGGCTTACGTCTCGCTTATGTAGTATACAGAAGCCACACCTCCCCAATTACAAATGCTGATCCGGAGGTGTAACAAACAAGGCCTAGGCAAAGCAAGGGTATTAAAAACTAGGCGGTTTGACGCTCTCACAAAGGACCGGTGCTGTTTCTCGGAACATCTGAGAGCCATTCGAATGTCCGACCAGCTCGTAACATCAATAGCCTGATTAATTGTC